TTCTATTTTTTTCAATTAAATGAGTTAATGCTAATATTAATTGGATTGAGGTTTTCTTTAATAATCAATAGGGTTTTAACACTCACTTCTCTCTCTATCAAATGGGGGTTAAGGAAAAATATGTTTCATGTTAACAATTATTTTTATTTCATCTTAATGGGTTGAGTTTCCAAAAAAAACTTTGAGTTAATGTTAACATTAATTGGGTTGAGATTCTCTTTAATAATCAATGATTTAGCACCCACTTCTCTCTCTATCAAATGGGGATAAGAAAAAATGGATTTCATGTAACAATCATTTTTATTTTATCTTAGTGCGTTGAGCTTCAAAAAAATTTTTTTTTTGAGTTAATGTTAACATTAATCGGGTTGAGGTTCTCTTTAATAATCAATGGGGTTTTAACAACCACCTCTCTCTCTCTCTCTCTTTCTCTCTCTCTCTCTCTCAAATTGGGGTTATGGAAAAATGAATTTCATGTTAAGAATCATTTTTATTTTATCTTAGTCAAATGGGTTGAGGCTCTCTTTAATTATCAATAGTCATATTTTTACTCACCAAACATAAAAATAGATTGTTTTAACAACCACCTCTCTCTCTCTCTTTCTCTCTCTCTCTCTCTCAAATTGGGGTTATGGAAAAATGAATTTCATGTTAAGAATCATTTTTATTTTATCTTAGTCAAATGGGTTGAGGCTCTCTTTAATTATCAATAGTCATATTTTTACTCACCAAACATAAAAATAGATTCATATACATTTTCAGTGCTGATGAGTGCTCTTAATTAATATTAACATTAATTGGGTTGACAAAATGACGGTTCGTCATAATTTTTTATTTTTGTGATTTTTATTTTGTTCTTTTTCAATTTTTTGTTTGATTTTTGATTGTGTTTTGTTCTTACTTGCAGATTGCTATTTCTCGGCGCTCTGGTTAATACTTCGATCTCTTTTTTTTTTATTCTCTCTTTCTCTCTCTCTAGTTTGGCTGTGGATTGTTAAGAGACAGAGGAAAAGGAAGTTCGAATTTTATGCATTGTTGTTTGGTATCTGAGAAAAAGGGAAGGAAAAGGAAATTGAAAGTTTTGAACTCACTTCACTGTTTCATTGCTTATAAAACATATAACTAAAAATGGGTTAAGGAAAAATTGGTTTCACGTTTCAAATGAGGGTTAAGGGAAAATAGATTTCATGTTAACAATTATTTTTATTTCATCTTAATGGGTTGACATTAATTGGATTGAGGTTCTCTTCAATAATCAATGGGGTTTTAACAACCACTTTTCTCTCTCTCTCTCTCTCTCTATCAACTGGAGGTTAAGGAAAAATAGATTTTATGTTAAGAATCATTTTTATTTTATCTTAGTCAAATGAGTTGAGGCTTTTTTTAATTATCAATGGTCATATTTGTACTCACCAAATATGAAAATAGATTTGTATATATTTTCAATGTTGGGGAGAGCTCTTAATTAATGTTAACATTAATTGGGTTAAGATTTTTTTTAATAATTGATGGGGTTTTAACACCCATTTCTCTCTCTCTCTCTCAAATGAGGGTTAAGGAAAATTGAGTTTTATGTCAACAATCATTTTTATTTTATCTTAATCAAATGGGTTGAGGTTTTCATTAATCATCAACGGTCATATTCTTACTCATCAAACATGAAAATAGATTCGTATACTTTTTTAGTGTTGAGGAGTGCTCTTACTAAATGTGTTTTTCTTTTTATCCTTCTGTCTCAGATTTTTTTAATTTTGCTTCTCAAGCAGATAATCAGGTTAGGAAGTCTCTCCGTTGCAATTCTTTATTAGTTCCTCACTTTTTTCTTGAATTGCACTGGGTCAATGAATGTTCTGGGTTAATAAATGAACTCTCTCAAATTTCTTTAATGCTCTGAAATTTTCATGTTTGGTCTTATATTAAACATTAAGCTTTTAATGTTTGGTTTAGAAAGCAATCTAATATAGTGTGTATAGTTATGTATCTTGGTATATAGCTCTTAAATTTCTAGAGATTATGTTGCATGTTTGTTATGAATAATTGGAATGTATGATGAATTATATGAAAACTTATGTTTTTTTTTTTTTTTTTTTCTCAAGCTACATTTAGATTTAGGATCTGAAGGGAATTTGTTGATTAAAAGGAAAATGGAATATTAAAAGGTTAATCATTTTTATTTGATGACCTTTTTTAAAAAAAACTTTTTTTGTTTTCAATGAACTGTTTTTAATTTGGTTTTTTATTGAACTGCTATTTTAAAAAGTTTAGACTTTTCTCTCTCTCTTAAAAATTTCCAGTGGATAAATTTGCTTCTATTGATTAAAAATTATTATTTTAAAAATATTTTACTATATATGTCGACTTTTTGTAGGATTGGGTTAAAAAATATATGGAATTCAAAAAGATAAATACAACTAGATTGCTTCGATGGGAATGTAATAAGGTAATTTCAATTTTAAAGTGTTTTGATATATATATAGAGATTTTTTTTATTTTTTTATTTTCATAAATTAGTAGATTGTTGTGTATGCTCCTCACAGGGGTACATACAAGTTGATACAAAGACTTTTTGGAAAGTGATGAGGCACTCCCAGGAATTATAAGAAAGAACAAGTTTGAAGATCATATTTATTTTTGTGAAAAACATACATATACTAGCTACGACCCAGATGTTGTAAAGTTTCCTATTGATGTGAATTTTATTACTTACAATAGTTTTGTAAAGCCTTTTATCTATGTGAAATTTATAACTAAGTTTAGATGTATGTTAGATAATATTCATTTGAATTATTGGCTTATGCTATGAGTTTGTTTTTATAAATGTAACACACTAGGTGATATAACCTTTTTTGCTTTTTTTCTTTTTCCTTCCTAAGATGCTCTTGAATTAGGTTAAAGAAAACTAATCATATTTTTATTTGATTGAATTTGAATTTTTGCTTCCATATATATTTTTATCAAGAAGGGTGTTGCTTTTATATTAAGTTGGTAATTTATTTTCATATAGGATTGGATGGTGTACGTATTAATCTATTTAAATAATTGTTTATTGCACAATTTTTGTCATTTTTTTTTTTTGGGTATTGGAAAGCATGGCTGATGTGTTATATTTATTTATCATTTTTTTCTATTGCGGATTACTAATTTTAGTACTTAATTGGTTATTTGTCATTTTTTTTTTGTATTATAGAATATTGGTTGATGTGCTTAATTTGTTGTTTTGCATTTTTCTTTGTATTGTATTGTATTCTTTTTTTGGTTGATGTGCTTTATTTATTGGTTGATTTCTAATTGTGTTTTGGCTGGCGTGCTTAATTTGTTATTTGGCATTTTCTTTGTATTGCAGAGCACTGGTTGGTGTATTTAATTTGTTGTTTATTTTCTTCTATTGTAGAGCATTGGCTAGCGTATTTTGTCTGATTTTTATTATATATTTTTGCGTTGTGGGACTTACATGTTTTGTGTTGTGAATTTTTTTACTTTATTTCTGAGGTTTGATTAAAATACGAATTATTTCTTGTGATTTTAAAAATTACATTCCATCCCTTGATGTTTCTAATTTCGTAACAAATTGTCCTTTTTCTTAATAAATCATGAAGTCAATTAACAGTTTTTAATGATGTTAGAAATATATTTCAATTAATAATTTAAATAATTTTATTATTGTATCAGAGAGCAATTATGAATTTTATTTTTTTAGTTAGTTCTGTTAAATAAAAAAATTTGACAAGAGAATATTTGTAATTTTCAAAACAACCATGCTAAAGGCCTCGAAAGAGAGGCCCAAATTTGCCTTGGAAAGTTGTTTTGTTTCGGGTTTTTTTTTAATGTTGGTTTGGTTTTTTTTTGGAAAGGGCTTTTATGTGTACCCTAAAACATAAACCCTAATAAAAAAAAAAATTCAAACCAACACAGCCCAACAAATAAAATAAAATAAAATAAACAAACCAACATAGCCCAACAAATTGAAAAAAGAAAACAGTTGGGTTAGACTGATTGTGTGATAAAATTGACTGATCACTGCTGGTTAAAATTTGTTAATTCTATATAATTTTGTACGAGTCTTTACTATATTTTTATTTCAAATCAGAAAAACTCGGAAAAAATAAAAACCTAAATTTTAAATCCTAAACTCTAGACCCACCCCTACACATAACCATCTAAAAAAAAAAAAAAAAATTTTTTTTACAATAGCCCAACAAGTAAATGAATAAATAAAAACAACCAAACTAACGCAACCCAACAAATAAATAAAAAATAATAATAAAAACAATCAAAGCAATACAGTTTTGAACACAGTTTTAAAGGAAAAGAAAAAGAAAAAAAAAGAAAAAAAAAAACACAAAGTTTTAAAAAAAAAAAAAAAAAAAAAAAAAAAAAAAAAAAACACCATTTCGAGCCACAGACGGGGCCTCAAACTCGAGGCCTCAATCTTTTTCCTTTTCAAAATTACAGAGATAATTTATATTTTAAAAAAATCTTAACGCAATATTTGGATTGAGTGATTTGGAGAGAAAAGAAAAGAAATGGAGAGATATGCATTTCTCTTACTTGTTTGGATAATCTAAGTGAAGAGAAATGGAAAGAAATTGAGAGATACTCATTTATCTTATAAGCCTCATTTTTAATCTTTCCATAAGTGAAGAGATTGAGAGAGAAAAGAAACCACTATTTTCATAATACCAATTTTGTCCTTATAAAAATAAAAAAAATAAAATGATTGAAAATATAAATAGGTTATTTTAGTAATATAATATAAAATAATTTCTTATCTTTTCTTTTAATAAAATCTAACCAAACAAGAATGAGAGAAATTATAATCATTTCTTTTTTTTTATGTCTTCTTTATCTAAATAAAAATAAGAGAAATCACAATCATTTTATTTCATTTCTTTTCTCTTATTTCTTTTCTTTTGTGTCCTAGATTCCCAAACACAGGGTAAAGGTGTATTTGTATTAGAACGACGTCGTGTGTAACGTACTTTTGTGATGCATTTGGGTGTTGCCCGAGAGATAAAACCTGAACAGTGGCAGTGCGTTGGAGCAATGGTGGGCATTTGTTCTAGAAGCCTCACCAAAACCCTCGTCCTTAACCTCAAGCCTGCGATCTCAGCCCTCCCACCAACTCTCTCTCCCTCCTTTTCTCGGCTTCAGGTTCGTTCGCTGATCATGGCCGACTCTGCTTTCAAGAAGATTCAGATTCAGAGAGACGACACTGTCAGTTTCTTTCTTTTTTTCTCACCTTTAAACACTTCAATTATCAGTTTTTATTCTGATCTCATATGTATATACGAGAGTTTTGTTGTGGATTTTGAGCATTTTGCATCTTGTGAAGTATCAATTGATTGGTCTGTAAATGGAATAATGTGAACTAGTAGTGTTTGAATGGCCATGAATTTGTTCTGTCTGTCGTTAATCTGACGAGAGAGAGAGAGAGAGAGAGAGAGAGAGAGAGAGACTACTTTTGAGGTGCATTTGTTTGCGTGAAGAGAGGGGTTTATGGTTTGATCTGTTCAAAGAGCGATCAATTGTTGAATTTGATCAGAAATTCATTTTGCTTTTGATAGATCCTTAATAAAACTAGTCAATTCACAGGAATAAAGTGTAAAGTGATATAATACAAGAAAGTTTTTCATTTTTTTGGAAATAACTATATGTTTTGCAATGTATATACAGGATATGTTTAATAGATTGATTAATTAGGGACATTAGTACCTTGATTTGAAAATCTCGCCCTGTTTGTGTTGGCAACTTATGGTTAAACTTCATTTAAAACTGGCTGTTAATGGACTTGTTTTAATTTCCTCATTATGTGATGAAATACTGGAGTGATGTCTATTGGTGAATTTCCATGATAATTTAATTTTGTATTCATATTCTATTGTTGGGGAAAAATCAACCAGACATTTGATGCATATGTGGTTGGCAAAGAAGACGCTCCTGGCATCGTTGTGCTTCAAGAGTGGTGGGGTGTTGACTTTGAGATCAGGAATCATGCTTTGAAAGTTTCTCAATTTGATTCTGGCTATAAAGCACTTATCCCAGAGTACGTTATCTTTGCTTGATACAACTAGTTGTTATGCTGCAAACTTGGCAAATGGAAACTGAATTTTGAGCTGCTTTTTGGTGCTTAATGATAATCTCTCACCATTTCAGTTTGTATCGGGGAAAAGTTGGTTTAGATGCTGCCGAGGCACAACATTTGATGGATGGTCTTGACTGGCAAGGTGCTGTGAAGGATATTCGTGCTTCAGTTAACTGGCTCAAAGCAAATGGTTCACAAAAGGTCTTTTTTTTTTCCCTCCTTATCTTTTAGAAAATGATTTTGAAAAAAGATTGTCCTCACTTTTATGAAGCAGTTCTGCTGGCTGGTCAATACGCAGTGGATCCTTTAAAATCCCAAGCTTTTCAACTCACTTATTGTTAGACCAATTTGAGAGTTGTGTTTTGAGATAATAACTATTGACATTCTGATCATAGTTTATACCATTTTTTCCCCTTGCTATGGTTATTATTCTATTTTATTGTATTTATATTGACTTGCAAAAAATAAGTACCTGTGTTACTGTTAACATGGTATCGATTCTTGATTTTAGGGGTCAAGCACTCATGAGACTTATGTTTCATGCATCAGTACTTATCTGCGCTTGAAATGTGGCATCATAAACCAATGTACTCTGTGGGGCTCTTATAGATTTAATCAGGACTTGCGTGTAATTTATTTCAATTTTTCTTGCTTGATGAGCACAGATGATGTGTTGTTGTCAATGCTTGATTTTAGGGTTCAGTTACACAAGGCAGTCATTAGGCTTATGCTTCATGCAGTGATACTTTTGTACATTTGATATATGGGCGTCATAGAGCAATGCATTGTGGACTGTGGAGGGCCTTATAAATATAATTGGGACTTGTGTTTAATTCATTTGAAAAATTTCTAGCTCAATGAGCAGATGATGTGCTGTTATTGCACAGCGTAACAAATTACTTCAGCCTCTTGTACTTTTTCTTCAGTTTACCAAAAAGTATTGGCCCTAGAAATTTCAGTTGACATGTTGTGCTTCATAATTACCTCATAAACTGGTTCACATTCTGGTGAATCTTTCCTCTTATGTTACTCAAGTATTAGAGTTGTCAGAGTTGTTTTATGTGCTAAAGAAGGAGAATTCCTATAGCAAAGAATTTTAAATTTTTTTGTTGCATATGTGCAATAGGTGGGTGTAACTGGATTCTGCATGGGCGGTGCTCTCTCTATTGCTAGTTCTGTTTTAGTCCCTGAGGTTGATGCTGTTGTAGCATTCTATGGAGTTCCTTCATCAGAGCTTGCAGACCCTGCACACGCAAAGGCACCTGTTCAGGCTCATTTTGGGGAGCTCGATAGTTTTGTTGGCTTTTCAGATGTAACGGTATGGTTAATTGATTTTGATTTTCAATATTATTTTAGCATGTAGATTTCAGTTCATCACTTTATTTTTCCAGTTGACCTATGGCTTAAATAATTTTTTTTTTTAATTTTTATTTCGCACATTTTTTTTTTCACAATACAGTTGTGTGACCACCGTAAGTCTCAAGTCTGTAGTTAAATTCTGCTTTGGTTTTTGTTGTTTTTAGGTTAGTTTAATTTTTTTGGTTATTATGCTAAACCCCTAACAAAAAAGACTACAATATGGCACCAAACTTAGCTCAAACAGAGTTATGATGTTTACTTCTAAAACAATGGTTGAAAGAGACTAGGAGAGCTTTATAACGTTGTTTGATTTGATGATGATAAGATCAATAAACAAAGAGTAGAAGGGATGCAAGGTAAATAAGAGCCAAAAAAGGGATAGTAGTATGGAATATTTAATGATCTGCTATGTGGAGGTTTGTATGGTACTTACAAAAGGAGAGTCTCACCAACCCAAAATTGCAACAAAAAAATCTCTTATAAGAAAATTAAAAAAAAAAAAATCATACTCTCAAATTGACAATGGAACAATTGGTAAACCTTGAAATATTTTTTTACTTTAGTTGTTGAGGATTTCGCAACAATGTATATTAAGCTCTCACACAACCTCCCTTGCGTGTGACTTTTCATTTTACATGGAGAGAAGAACAACTAACAAAGTGGAGACCAGACTGCAGACAAACCAAATGAAGGAGCAAATGCAAATGGGGAGACTTGAACCCAAGACTTCCTTGCATCACCAAAACATAGATAATACTTTAGATCAACAGTTGTCCAAAAAGCTTAAGTTGTTAAGGAAGGACCAACAATGTTTACCATGCTTTATCACAAACAAAAATGCCCACAGAAAACTAAGAACCATTGTGAAAAATGATCTAGGTCAGTTTTTCTTCATACTCACGCACACAAAAAATAAAAATATATATATATATATATATATAAAGCACTAGGAATTCCTTGATTTTTGTAAATTCATAGAACTCCAGCAATGCATAAGTTGAGCCCATTTTATAAGCCCTCTAGGCTCACAATTTCAACAGATTCTGAAATTTGAAAAGGCTAATCTTTAACCTACTGGCATATTGCCCCAACAAATGCCTCGAGGATTCAAGCATAAACCAATGGAGCTCGACTTTCCTCTAGTTTTGACTCATCAAATAGTGGTTGTAAGCTTACAAATTGTGATGTGCTTGTGAGAATATATTGTATATATGGTATGTTTGTGTATATTTGGCATGATTGGGTATATTAGGAATTAGGCCTTAGCATTAGGAATGGTGTAAATAGGAATCTTTGTATTTTCTTTTTCGTATTTCCTTTTTCAGCCATAGATTAGGGTTGTATAACTGATGATCTCTTTGTAAACAAATACAAGTAGAATATACAGAATTATTCAGAAACTTACATGGTATTAGAGCTTGGTTCAAAACCCTAACAGCCAACATGAATCTCTCTCTGGTTTTGATCTCTGATTCAATCGAGTTCTTTGTTCCTTTCTTTGTTTGGTTCGTTCGTCTGATTCGAAGTCGACTTGAAGTTGACCTATCTGGTTCCTTTTCTCTCTCTCGTTTGGTTCATCATTGGGTCTGGTTCGTTTGGGTCATCTGCTTCGTTCGATCGATCGTCTGCTCCCTCTCGTCTGGTTCGTCTAATTCACCATTGGGTCATCTGCTTCGATCCTCTGATTCGTCTGACTTGTACGACTTATCTAAGTTCGCGACCCATCTCGTTCATACTCATGTAGGGGTGAGCATGGTCCGGATTGGACCGGATTGGGTAAAACCAAGACCAATCCGTTATCTACGGTTCCTGAAAAATTGGAACCAATTCAATCCGTTTAAATCATGGAACCAATCCGAACCAATCCATTTAAATACGGATTGGATCAGTTTAGGACCACGGATTCATATAATTAAACAACAAAAAAAAAAAATTTATATATATATAACACTTTAATTTCATAAGAACATAAACATAGCGCTATATTAGTTCCACAATAGTAACATATTTTTCTATAATAGCAACATACTGTTCTAAAATTTAAATAATCATAAGTAAGGTTTTGAAAAGCAATTGCGGTCGCTGTAATGGTTGCGGTTGCGGTTGCGGTTGCGGTTGCGGGGTGTAAAGGCCGTAGTGTAACGGTTGCGGTAACCGGAACCGTAAATTTTTTTATTTTTCGCACAATTTGAAAAAAACTTACCCATACGCATATTTTTTTTCCATGATCATATTTATTGGATTAAAAATAAATATTAATCAATTTTTGTAAATTTTTAAGTATGATCCAATATATTTCATATTTTTAAATCACTATAAACTGAGTTTTTTACATTTTATTTTAATAATTAATGACTTTATATTATACAAAAAATCAATCACTAATTATTATATATAAGATAAACAATGACAAAAGTATGTGAATAAATAAGAGCCTAAATATATATATATATATATATATATACAAATTTTAACCAAGCCAAATAGATAATGACTACACTTATTATTATTATTTTCAAACAATATATAGATAGACACACACAAACAAAATGGTTTAGTGATAGCAGCGGAATAGAATAACATAGGTCATACAGCTTCAACAAATTAATAATATGTTCTTCATCTTCTCTCTTCTCTCTCTCTATCTCTTGCTCTTTCATTTTCTCTCTTTATCTTCCCTCTTCTCTCAATCCCTCTTCCCCCATTTTCAGTTTTTTTTTTTTTTTTCCCGAAAGAAATAGTTTGAAACCGTTACGTAACGGTGCGTAACAGGCCGTTACGCCTGTTACGGCACCGTTACGACTGCTACGGCAGCCGCTACAGTCGACACACCTGTGAATCTCAATCACACTGCAAAAGCGGCCGTAACGAGTGGCGGTAACCGCCAAAACCATTACGTAACGGCGTTACGTAACGATTGTGGCTACTTTTTAAAACCTTGATCATAAGAAAACTGGATTCACCATAAAAATTTAGACCATTATAAATTAAAATTAAAAACTAACAAACAAAAGTAATAAAAGACGATATTATACGGGTTTAGGTTTAAGTTTAGGTTTCATATAAAATAAGAGAAGATACTATGAGGGAGGATGTATAATAAAAATATAGACTATTTGCATACGGTCCGAATCGGTTCCAATCCAGAACCGTGGGGTTCAATCTGGAACCAATCTGTGGGCTACAGATTTTTAATTCTTCAATCCGGAACCGAACCACGGATTCAAAAAATCAATCCAAACCTATCGGATTGGACTGGACTGGATCGGATTACGGATTTCACGGATTCTTTGCTCAGCCCTATACTCATGATCTCTCTGTCTCTCTCTGGTTCTTTGGTCTGAAGTTGTGAAGGTCCTTTGATTGTCGCAAGCAAGGTTCTGAAAAGCGGTTGCGGTCGCCGTAACGGTAGTAGTGACGCGGTTGCGGTTGCAGTTACGGTTGCGGGTTGTAAAGGCCGTAGTGTAATGGTTGCGATAACCGGAATCGTGAATTTTTTTATTTTTCGCATAATTTGAAAAAAACTTACCGATACGCATATTTTTTTTCCATGATCATATTTATTGGATTAAAAATAAATATTAATCAATTTTTGTAAATTTTTAAGTATGATCCAATATATTTCATATTTTTAAATCACTATAAACTGAGTTTTTTACATTTTATTTTAATAATTAATGACTTTATATTATACAAAAAATCAATCACTAACTATTATATATAAGATAAACAATGACAAAAGTAAGAGAATAAATAAGAGCCTAAATATATATATATATATATATACAAATTTTAATCAAGCCAAATAGATAATGATTACACTTATTATTATTATTATTATTATTATTATTATTATTATTATAAAAAAACAAAAGATTACATGGTTGAGTGAAGTTCTCCCGGCAAGTTGAATGGGTTCATCTTCCCTCTTCTCTCTCTCTATCTCTTGCTCCTCCATTTTTCTCTTTATCTTCCCTCTTCTCCCATTTTCAGTGTTTTTTTTTTTTTTTTTTGTGTTTTTTCGAAAGAAACAGTTTGGAACCGTTACGTAACGGCGCGTAACAGGCCGTTACGGCATCGTTACGACTGCTACGGTAGCCGCTACAGCCGACACACCTGTGAATCTCAATCACACTGCAAAAGCGGCCGTAACGAGTGGCGGTAACTGCCAAAACCGTTACGTAACGGCGTTACGTAACAGTTGCGGCCACTTTTTAAAACCTTGGTCGCAAGGTCTCTGTGTGGAGCTTGGTTTTCTCGCACTGAGTATTAATCGAGAGTACCACTGGTGTTCTCCCACTTAGTGGTCTAATATTCTGGTTATTTTGTTTTCGCCCATCAGTTCTCAATTTATTACACTTAAATCTCCTTTAAATTTCTTGTTATTATCCTTCGACCCCTAATTGGCCATTTTGTTCTGTTTTGGGTTTACTACAATTTAACCCCTCAGATTTTGAGTATTACACTTGAATCGCTGGTTTGGCTATTTTGTTTGATTGAACTTGAACCTCTCAGTTTTCTGATTATTATGTCTTTGGCTTCTGATGAGTGTGCTTTCTGCCATCAGAAAGGCCATTGGAAGTATCATTGTCCTAAGAAGGGATGTTTGTCTTCTTCGCCTATGTCTGCCTCGTCTTCTCAGCAGTTTCCGATCAAGTTTTGTGCTTCTCCTCTAAGTACCGTTCAACCTCCCGCTAGTTCTACTGCATCTGCTCTGGCTCCTGATCCTGATTTGGCTTCCTTGACTGCTCGGATTAGGCAGCTTCAACATACATTGTCTACCTCTCAGCCATTCCTATCTGCCTTCATTGTTTCCTCTCTTCATTCAGGTTTATTTGGGTCTTCTTCAGGTATTTCTTCATCTGTCTAGCTTTTTGACTCTGGTGCCTCTCATCATATGACTCCCCATCTCTCCTTACTTCAAAATTGTACTCTTCTTTCCTTTTTTATTACTATCAATGTTGCCAATGAGTCTGGTATGTCTGTTATATCTGTTGGGTCTGTCCTACCGTCTGCTATGTCTGTTGTCTCTATGCCATCTGTCCTTTATGTTCCTCAGTTATCTGTCAGTTTATTATCTATCAGTCAGCTTGATACCTCTGGTTTTGATGCTATTTTTTCTTCTTCTATCTGTTCTGTGCAGGATCGGATGTTTAAACAGTAGATTGGGACCAGCCGTAGAGTTAGAGACCTCTATGTGGTGGAGAGCTTGCATCTGCCGATGGCAACCTCTCCGATTGCCTTTTTTTCTTTTCAGTTAGATTCTCTGTCTAGTCCTTCCTACTTGTGGCATTCTAGATTAGGACATTTGTCTGCTGATGTTATTTTTTCTTCTTCTATCTGTTCTGTGCAAGATCGGATGTTTAAACAGCAGATTGGGACCAGCCGTAGAGTTAGAGACCTCTATGTGGTGGAGAGCTTGCATCTGCCGATGGCAACCTCTCCGATTGCCTTTTTTTCTTTTCAGTTAGATTCTCTGTCTAGTCCTTCCTACTTGTGGCATTCTAGATTAGGACATTTGTCTGCTGATCGTTTACGGTCTTTAGCTCAGTCTAGTATATTGGGTAAAGTTTCTCCTAGTGAACTTCCTAAATGTCAGGGGTGTAAACTTGTTAAAATGACAGCCTTACCTTTTCATAAAAGTACTTCTGTATCTGATACACCATTTTTCTTTAGTTCATACTGATGTTTGGAGCCCTTCGCCTGTTCTCACTAAAGGGGGTTCTATATACTATGTGTCATTTATTGATGACTGCACACGTTACACTTAGGTTTATTTTATGGCTCATAAGTCTAACTTCAACCAGATATACCGTACTTGCCAGTCTATGGTCACTACACAGTTTGGGTCTACTATTAAATTGTTGCGGTTTGACTTGGGTGGGGAATACTTTAAAACTGAATTCTGTGAATATTTAGCCAAATTGGGTGTCATTTACCAAACTTCTTGCACTGATACACCTACCTAAAATGGTCGAGTTGAGCGTAAATACCGTTATCTCCTTGAGACAGCTAGGTCTCTCCTTCCCTTTACCTCCGTTTCGGCTCTGTTTTGGGGTAAGGCAGTTCTTACTGCTGCTTTTCTTCTCAACTGTATGCCTATCCCCATTCTTTCTGGTCGGTCTCCTTATGAGTCTCTATTTTCTCAATTTCTTAATTATTTCCTCCTTTGTGTGTTTGGGTCTGCTTGTTTTACCCTTTTATCCCGTAAAGATAGGACCAAACTAAGTGTCCGGTCTGTTCTGTGTCTTTTTGGGTTATAGTCTCACTCAGAAAGGTTGTCGTTGTTATGACCCTGTTTTGTGTTTTCTTAATGTCTCCCGCTATGTTGCGTTTCTTGAACGTTTATCTTACTTTCAGCTTCCTCCTCTCACCACCCCAGTTTCCAAAAAAGATTTAGTTCATATTGATCCGTTTCCTTCTGAGGTCCCGTCTGATGAGTACATCTCCACAGTTTCTCTTGAGCTTGTTCCATTTTCTCCTTTTGCTTCACCTCTGGCTGCTTGTCCTCCTTCGGTTTCTTCTCTTCCTCCGTTAGTTTGTTCTCGTCGCATGGCTTCTCCTTTACCAGCTGTCTCTACCCCTGCTGCTGATCCTCCTACATCTAACGACTCTGATCCTGCTGCCCACTGATATCTTACTCGAGCGCGTCATCCTCCAAACAGGTTGGGTTAGTCTAATACATGTTTTTCTGCTTTCTATCGTACTTTTATGTTTGCTATTTACTCTTTTTCAGAACTTCAATTTTACAAGAAGGCTTGTCAGTATCCTTATTGGATTCAAGCTATGGAGGATGAGTTGTCTGCTTTACAGAAAACTAGTACTTGGGAGTTGGTTCCTTTGCCTGTTGGTAAGAATCTGGTTGGTTGCAAATGGGTTTACAAAGTCAGGACTCATTTTGATGGTTCTCTTGAGCGCTACAAAGCTTGTCTAGTTGCCAAAGGTTTCTCACAGGAGTATGGTATTGATTATGAGGAGACCTTTGTTCCTGTTGTCAAGATGATTACTGTCTGTACTTTGATCTCTGTCGTTGCTGTTTGTTCTTGGCCTCTTTATCAAATGGATGCTAAGAATGCTTTTCTTAATGGCCATCTCATTGAGGAGGTTTACATGTGTCTTCCCTTAGCTTTCACCATTCCTCTGGACAGGTTTGTCGCCTTTGGCGTGCTCTGTATGGTCTGAAGCAACCTCCTTGTACTTGGTATGATCGTTTTCAGACTGCTGTTACTGAGCTTGGATTTCATCTTTCTGCTTCCGACTGTGCTTTGTTTCTGAGAGCCATATCTCGGCTGGTTTTGTTGCTGTCTTAGTATATGTGGATGATATGATCATCACTGGTTCTGACTCTTCTGCTATTTCCGAGGTCAAGCAGCATCTGTTCTGCACTTTCGAAATGAAGGATCTGGGTCCATTGCGGTAATTTCTTAGTATCGAGGTTGCTTCTTCTCCAAAGGACTATTTTCTGTCTCAGGCTAAGTATGTTAATGAGGTCATTCACCATGTTAGTCTTACTGATATTAAGGTTTCTGATACACCTATTGAGCTTAATGTGAAGCTCACCTCTACTGATGGAGTCCCTTTGGCTGATCTCACTTTATATCGCGAGCTCGTGAGTTGTTTAGTTTATCTGACTGTCACTCGTTCTGATCTTGCTTCTGCTGTTCATGTTGTTAGTCAGTTCGTTTCTGCTCCTCGCTCTACCCATTGGGCTGCTTTGGTTCGCATTCTTCGCTATCTTCGGGTACGATTTTTCAAGGCTTACTATTGTCTTCTACTTTATTTTTAGACTTGGTGGCCTATGCTGATTCTGATTGGGCTGGTGATGTTACTGATCGCAAGTCCACCTTTGGTTTCTGTATGTTTCTTGGCGATTCTTTGATCTCTTGGAAAAACAAGAAACAAACTGTTGTTGCTCGCTCTACTGTCGAAGCTGAGTACCGTGCTACTGCTGAGCTTGTTTGGCTTTGTTGTCTTCTCTCTAATTTGGGTGTACTTTAGTCTTCTCCGACCTCTCTCTATTGTGACAACCGTAGTGCTATTCAGATTATCCACAATACTGTCTTCTATGAACGGACGAAACACATTGAGATTGATTGTCATTTTGTCTGACAGCATCTGCAATCTGACTCTATTTCGCTTCCTTTCGTCGCTTCGGCTTTGCAGCTTGCGGACTTCTTTACCAAGACTCACACTACCGCTCGGTTTCAGTTTCTTCTTGGCAAACTCTCTGGGTTTTCTGCTAAAATACCTTGAGTTTGAACGAGGGTGTGAGAATATATTGTATATATGGTATGTTTGTGTATATATGGCATGATTGTGTATATTAGGAATTAGGCCTTAGCATTAGGAATGGTGTAAATAGGAATTTTTATATTTCCTTTTTCGTATTTCCTTTTTCAGTCATAGATTAGAGCTATACAACTGATGACCTCTTTGTAAACAAATACAAGTAGATTATATAGAATTATTCAGAAAACTTACAGTGCTATTGTACAAAAGAAACTGTAGATATTGGAAAAACACTTATATCAAAGAATGTTTGGGAGAGTACGAAAGATTTGCTGGAATCAACTAAATATCTTAGTTCTAGTTCTTTTTGTTTGGAGTTCCACTTTCTTGTTTCAACTTTCTTTATTGTATACATTCCTGGACGGCAATGTAGCACAGGATGCAAAGCCTCAAATTAAAGAAGCAGAGTTGGAATAATAATCTCTCTGAGATTAGGATTTCACATGAGTTTTGAATTTCGTATAATTCATCACAGAGCAAAATAATAGAGTACTGAGACTTCAGTTATGTATTTATGTGCATTCGGCAACATTACTGCCATCTCCCTACATGTGTGCTGGAAGTGGCAATTCGTAGTCTGTCAAAGGAGCTCTTTGCATCCCATGATGTCTCTGCATCACTTTCCAATTTAACCTGGCAATATACCAAAACCCAAGCCACACAGAAATCTTAACATTTGGCCCAAAGCTCTCCTCTGATGTTTGTGAATTATTCAGTATTAAAACATAAAATTTTCAACCATTGACATCGACACACTAAGTACTGAAAAAACTTTATAACTCCTGGACTAGACTTTTCCTCAAACCAGTGTCCATATGCAGTTTAATACAATGTCCAGAATTTAATTGGACAATCTGATGTAAATAACTTTTCCCCTGTAGTGTGGTAGTCAGATTAAGTTTTTGATAAATAACTTTCACTCTTAATGTTACACAACAATGAAGCAATTTATTCAATTCAAATTTTGCTTCTTCTCAAGTTATTGTCTTATTTGGATTGCAGCTTTTGTATGCAAAAATTGGCAAATGAATGTTATCATGTTTGTGTGATGTAGAACTAAGCTGCTTTTAAGTGTGAAGATTCATCTGAATTTTAACATGACATTTGTATGATACATAAGACAGTAACAAAATAGTAATGGAGGAAGAAATGATTTATAATGCCTCTTTTGGAGCATACCTTGATTCATTTACAAAAACTAATTTATTTATTTATTAATTCTTCCTAGTATTTAATTTTTGACACTTATGTGTCTGATATTTTTTTTAATAAAATTACCTCAAGTAACAAAGAGTAGACTAGAAACCATCACCATGTATATGCTTACATATGTTGGTACTAATGGTGATTAAAGGAGTTAGGATAAGTAGAACTAAGGCAAAATATATGGAGTGTAATTTTAGTAATAGTAAAAATGCAAGCAGAAGAGAAGTGAAGATTGAGGACCGAACACTACCTAAGAGTGAATATTTTCGTTATTTAGGATCGATTATCACAACGATTAGGGAGATTGGAGCGGATGTGATCCATATAATTAAGGCGAGGTGGCTTAAGTGGAGGAGTGCGTCTAGGGTACTGTACAATAAACGAGTACGCACTAGATTAAAAGGGAAATTCTATAGAATGGCTATTAGACCAACAATGTTGTATGAGACGGAATGTTGGGTAACTAAGAAACTACATATAGATAAGATGAGTGTTGCTGAGATGAGGATGTTAAGGTGGATGTGTGGCAAGACTAGAAAAAATAGAGTTAGGAATAAGTATATTCGAGAATGGGTAGGAGTAGTACTGATGGAAGATAAGTTGAGGGAGAATAGATTGAGATGGTTTGGTCGTATACAACAGAGACAGTAGTGAAGAGATGCGATACAGTGACGGTAGATGAAAGTGTTGGGGGAAGGGGCAAATTTAGATTGACGTGGGCTAGTGTAATAAATAGAGATATGAATCTTCTTAATTTGACTAACGATATGGCCTTGGATAGAGTCGAATGAAGAAAAATGATTCATGTAGCCGACCCCATTTGATGGGACTTAAGGCTTAGTTTGGTTTGATTTGGTTTGCATGTAGTATAGTTCTGTTGACATTGCACTTAAAGTGATATATGAATTGCATAGTGATTTGAATAGCTCCAAGTCTCAAAGTAAAGAAAATTTGTGTATGCAAGTATCTATGCTTAAATGCTAGTTTGTTAATGATTTTCCAGGCAGCTAAAGCATTGGAGGAAAAGCTGAAGGCATCAGGAGTTCCGTATGAGGTACTTGTTTATCCAAGAAATGCACATGCTTTTATGAATAAGTCTCCCGAGGGTGTGGAGAGGAGGAAAGGTATGGGATGGGCTGATGATGACGAAGCTGCAGTGGAGCTGGCTTGGTCTCGGTTCCGATCATGGATGAGCCGTTTCTTATCTCCCTAAGCAATATGTGTTGCACTGCCTATCACATTAAAGTTTCCTACCTTAATATAATAATCTGGTATGCAGTCAAGATATGTTAGGTATGCTGTTCTTACTCTTTGCAAAGTGTGTGCGGATGTAACTTTAAAAATTGCTTTCGTTGTGATATATTACTACTGCAAATATTGTTCTGTCAGTAAATGTTTGTCTTCTTAAGAATATTACTCCTTAGATGCCGTGTAAACAAAGTTGGAATAACTGGATCGGACTACAAAGGAATTCCTGTGTGAACGTATGCCTCAAATTTCAAGAATTAAACATGGTTGAAAGTTGTGATTAATTGACTGGATTGAAATTAGGGCTGGGATTAGGACGGGATGTTTGTTTGAGTTAAAACGACAAACAGTAGGAGAAAACTCAGGTAACTAGGAAACTTGGGAGGAAGGGATTTCTAGAAACTTGTAATGGAACTTCACTGTATGTAATTGAGGGCCCCAGCAAGTGCTGGTGGGAGGAGAGTGACTGCTGAACAACGGGCCATCGTCTTCATTTTGATAGAATGGGTGTTTCCTTGTGGGGTTAGAACTTAGAATTTGAGGCATGGTCTTATTTCATTGAATTGGTTTTGTTAGTGGGGTTAACCACTATTCCATTTGTTTTCAGGTTGTCAATTCAGTGAACTATATTCTCCTTATAGGTCTCTTTCTGTGGGGCAAGAATGCCACAATTATCCAAACAGCTATTTTGTTTGGTCAATTATGTGCTAGTGCTGTTGAAAATTTTCTTCTAATGATGGTGAAGTTGGATGAATTTTAGCTGAAAGATCCGCAGGGAATTGACCATTTTAGGTAGGGGTGTTTGCAGTTCAGTTGCGGTCGAAAAATCTCTAATCTGTCGTCCATTCTCCGGATGGGCGGGTTGAAAAAAATCAATCTGCATCTGTCCGCTGAATTGACGGATTGAGCGGATTGAGCGGATTGGTAGATTGACGGATGGATGCGAATCGGTTTGGCGGTTTAAATTTTTATAAATTTTGAACATAATACAACAACTTGTCAATATTTTTTTTTTGGATAACAATCTAACTCAACATAACCAAAAGAATAAGTAAATTGTCAAATACTAATAATAAATACATATAAGAATAACAATGCATTATTAAAACTATTTCATTGCTTGTTTTTATTCAAAAATTATTTAATTTGATTTTTAAAAAAAATGACAAAATTAAGCCTTATATTTTTCACACAAAAATACTAAATATCAACTCTTGTCATTTGATAAGAGGATTTTCAAATTGAAAATAAATTGAAAACACAACAGAATATCTAAACAAATTGAAAATATAAAATATTACAAATTGCTAGTGGTGTTCGCAGTTTGGTGGTTTGATTGTGGCCAAATGTAGCGGATTGGTTCGATTCGATTTGAGCAGATTGAAATATCCGCTGTTCACCCTCTAATTTTAGGTATTGATTGTCAAGAAATATTTAGGTATTTCTTCTAGGTTTAGAATTGTCAGGAAGTGGCGAATTCTTTATTGGGAATTGACCATTTTAGGAGTAAATGGTTTTATTTGAATGGCAAACGGAAACGGACACTTCTACAAAAGAAGCGGCTTGTGCCCGAAACCCTTCAGACTCCTTAAAGCTTATTTGATATTTCTTCAGCGTGTTTTAAGTAATAAATTAAATTCATTAGATTGGTCAATTAAATTTGTCAAGACTTCATGGACACTTCCATGGCACTTCTTGAATCTTCCGAACACGTCTCGTATGATGAATACTTTCATAATAATAATAATATTGTGCATTCATCAAAATGCAATTTATGCACTCTAAATACATTTTAAAACATCTATAAGATGAATACATTATGTGTGTTATAATATTCTACAATTGTTTTACATTTTTTAGAATATAATTATTACGTGAATGATATTTTGAAATTCAAGTTATAAAATATGTTACTTTTTAATATAATTAGTGTTTTGTTATACATTTTTATTTTTGAATAAATTATTTATATGTATAACATATAATAAATTTGTAAAAGCGCGGCACATCCTGCAATTTTTTGAAAACCAATGTGTGAGTGTGTCCGTGTGAAGTGGTTGTTTGGATTGTGATGCATTACTGCCGTACGGTACTACTACGGTCATAGTCAGCTCGCTCTCCCTTTGTTTTTTTTGCTTTTGCTTTTGTTTTTGTTGTGTTGTGTTGCGTTTTGGTTTTTGTTTTGGTTTTGGTTTTGATTTTGATTTTGATTTTGATTATTTAAAATGTTTTTGTTTTTTTGTGAGAAAATGAACCACTTCATCTTTTTCATCCATGCCTTTATTCTTCTACGGATAGGATTTTTTCAACTTCACCACTGAAGTTGGAACTTCAAATTCTGCAACTGGATTTGTCCAAAATTATGCGACTTATAAATTTACTATTATTTCTTTCCATTAACTACTCACATTTTTGTTTATTTGTTTGTTTGTTTGTTTGTTTTGCTGAGAAAATGAACATATTTGCCCTCTCTTTTTCATCCAAGCCTTTCATTTTTTGACCTATTAGTTCAAACTCAATTTTCTAAACCAAACATTGGGTTATGCATTTTGTTGAATTAATAATCCAATTTCAAAGTTGTCCCCGCCCAAACAATATGGCATGGTTTGTGCTTCTGCACTACATCAAATATTAAGATCCATCATTTTCTCTCTTTCTAAAATTTCATTATTTGCTTCCATGGCCTCCTCTTTAATTTTATTTTAGAAAGTCTATGAAAACACAATCGATCATATAACCAACCACATAAAGCATAAGTAGAACAATATGAGTAAAATTGTATTTTATATGATGGGCTATATCATCTGATATTTACGGTTAAAATTGTTTTTATGTAATTGATTATGTGTTTATAAATTTATTATTATTTTAATATTTTGTTTGGGGTAAGTCATGAATTCCCCACTAGACTAGTAGTGGTTGGTTGGTTGGTTGTCATTGTTTATTAATTAAACCACCTATATAATGAATCATAAATGAGTCTGATGCTGTTGTTTTGGCATGTTGAGGCCTAGTGTGCATTTTCATTCCATATCATCTTCACCCTGTCTTTGTTACTTGCAATATGAAGTTTTTAATACTTCAATTTTCTGTCACGCGGTCCAAGATCATCACGCCATTTTTTCTACCTTCAATTATTAGAGTGCAATAAATTCATCAATCAGCCAATTTGTACCAATTCAAACCAATCCGTACCTCTTGAAAAACGGGTTGGATTGGCATGTTAGATGATTAGAAAAATGGTAGAGGTCCCAAATTTTCTACTAAACAAATGACCAAATGTCTTACATGGATTTTCTACCAAACAAATGACCAAATGTCTCACATGGGTGTGGGGTCTACAAAATTGCGGATCCCACACCCATGTGAGACATTTGGTCATTTGTTTGGTAGAAAATTTGTTGTCCCTAGCATTATCCAGATGATTATTCTTGCCAAAATAGTTCATTTAATGATTTATTTATTTATTTATTTTTTTTTCCTTCAAAATTTAAAGTGTATATGAGATCCTTTCTTTTCACCTTTTTGATTATGAATGACTAAAATAAAAATAACATAATATTTCAAGATTACTGAATAATTTTTTTAGTAGCATTATTATTTAATTCTTTAGGTAGTAGAGACAAATGTTTGACCTATTGAGTCTATCTAAAGTTATATATCTTTCTATTCTCTATTTTGTTTTTACTTCCACTATTTTCCATTGCAGTCTACTTCTCAAAATTTTGATTGGCTGTCTATCTTTATCATTTTACAATTTAGCAACATATGGACTTTAATGACATTAGGTATTTGATGTTTTAATCAATGCTTGAAAACAGACAAAAACTTCTCTCATTCATGACTCATGAAATTGTGTTGCCCAATTTGATAATTAACAAAATGGGCATGCTAAATTGTTGAAAAAAAAAGAGATAAATATCAAAATCATGTGCTATTCATTTTTGTTTCAAATGGAAAATTTTTTATATTTTTTATTTTTTGAGAAGTATAAAAAACATCATTTATAGTCCATGTTCAAAAAAAAAAAAAAAAAAAAAAAAATCATATTATATTCATAATTTTGCTGGCACGCTCGCATTTATGATATTTTCCTTCGTAGGAAAAATAAGCCAACATTTTAGCCAACAAATGAACCCACCAACATGCATGACCACTGAGACAACACTGCTCTAGAATATTAACTGTGACACTAGTGCAACACCAAGGGTTTTCATCCGTTGTCAAAAAGTTATCACAAGACTCACTTAAAAGTTGTAACTATGCAATGCAAATTAGAGGATGAAAGATGATGTTAATGGTGGAGAAAGATAAACTTAAAAAACCTAATTTGAATTTACGACCAGAGGGTGGTGGCTTACGCCTATGTGATTTGAGTCTCAGGAACGTTCATAAGTGAGATTATTGCCCTCCTTGTCATTATATCCTTGGTAGGTTTGGAGTCAAGTTATAGCTTAAGTCTGCGTGTAGTATTCTCAAACTGTGAAATTGTTTATACAGAGCCAATTGAAACTTATTTGAGCCCCCACGTGAAAAATTTAATTGTGGCCTTTACATTTTTTTACATTGTAATTTCTATTTTTTTATGCTATAAATTTTATTTAAAATTCTATAATAAAAAATTATTTATTTAATTATATATATATATTTTTTGACACTCACTCAATATTCTTAATTTTTACAATTAAAATTATTTGATAATTAATTAATCAAATCTTGTATGATTTCGTACTTTTGTGAAACCCTAGGTGAGTACCTTAAGGCCTCGTTTGTTTGGGTTATGGGGAGAGGATTGGATTTGATAGTGAAGAGGGGATTGAGAATGGGGTGTTTGTTTTGAGAGATAGGGAGGGGACTAGTAATCCCTTGGTATTAATAAGGAGGAGGAAGGGGGATTGGTAAGGAGGAGGTAGAGATGGTATTAGAAAAATAGTGAAGGGATTAGAAATTTTATTATTTTTTATATATTGGGAATTTTTTTTAAATATAATGTTTATTTTTTTTATATTTATTTATTTATTTTATTATTTTATATAAAAATAATTTAACAACTCTTCACTATTAATCCCCTCACTATCAATTTCCTCTATTCTATCTCCCAAAACAAACGGGCCCAATTGCCTACTTCTTGAATCATCACTTTGTCTATGCCTTTTTGGTTGGCTTTTTTACAGATAGGGATAAGAATTTTTATAATTATGTTCAAGAAAAATTATCACAAGGTTTTTTTTTTTTAACCTCAGCAAAAACACCCAAT